CCCCCCCCTCTCGCGCCCGGGGCCGCGCCCCCGCCCCCAGGCGCTAGGCGCTTCTTTTTCTCCGGGCCCTGTGCAAGCCCCGGGGGCGACACAGCCCCGATCACCCCTCCCCTCCCTTCCTCGCCTCCCTCCCCCTGCCACACTCCCTTCTTCCCCTCTCTCCCCCTATCCCCCTCCCTCTTTCCACCCTCTCCCTCCCTCCATTTCGTCCGCCGTGTGTTTCCTGCCTCCCGGCCTGCCTAGAAGCCCACTATGAGCAGTGCGTCCACACCGGCGCTCTTCCCCGCCCCCTTCTGCCCCGCCCCTGCGTGTGAGCGCCGCGCGTGAGAGTCCTTTGCTCCGGCGTTCCTCCTGACCTGTTGCCCTCGCCCTCCCCTCCTCGTCCCCTCCTCCTGCGCCCGACAGAGTTCAACACTGGCACCGGCTCCAACTGGGAGAAGTGTGCGTCCGCCCGCTGCTTCAGGGGGGTTAATTGACGGAAAACCGCGTGCATGCCCGCTCCCAAGCCTCGTTCGCAAGCTGACCCACGGACTACTGCCTTGCGCCCTCCCCGTCCCCCCCCCCCCTCTCTCTCTCCCATCATAGTCTCCAAGAACACCGATGACAAGCCCGACGACAGCGTCCGCGGTACGGCCCCACCATGCGCTGGTGGACATATCCCCCTCCCCTCTCCGCCCGTGGGCTGTGTGCCCGAGCCTGACACCCTGTCCCAATCCAGCCCTCGACCCGGGCGACATGGCCGTCCTCAAGGCGTACGGCAGCGGGCCGTACGCCGCCCAGATCAAGAACCTCGAGACCGACATCAAGAGCACCCTCTCTCGGGTGAATGAGACCGTCGGTACGCGCGCACATCCTCCCCCTCCGTCTCCTCTCCGCCTCTCTTTTGTTTCGCCCTCTGAACCTCCCTCACCTTTGCCTTCTTCTTCCTCCTCCCCCCCCCCTCCTCCTCCTCCTTCTCTCCCTCTCACCCTCCCTTCCCCAGGTGTCAAGGAGAGCGACACCGGCCTGGCCCCCCCCAGCATGTGGGACCTGCCGGCTGATCGCCACCGCATGATGTCCGAGCCCTCATACCAGGTGGCTCGTTGCACCAAGATCATCAAGCCCAAGACCTCGGACGACCGGACCCAGTATGTCATCAGCCTCAAGCAGATCGCCAAGTTCGTGGTCGGCCTTGGCGACCAGACCACCCCTACCGATATCGAGGAGGGCATGCGTGTTGGGTATGTCGTGTGGCTGAAGACCTGCCGCCCTCTGTGTCGCCTTTTTTCTTTTCCCTTGCTCCCCCGGGTTTCCTGTTGTTTTCCTTTCGGTTTCCGGTCGACTCATGCCCTGCTGCCCCCCCCCCCCCCCCGCCGCCGCCGCCCTCCAGTGTCGACCGGACAAAGTACTTCATTCAGATCCCCCTGCCGCCGAAGATCGACCCGTCGGTCACTCTGATGCAGGTGGAGGAGAAGCCGGATGTCACCTACAATGACATTGGCGGTTACAAGGAGCAGATTGAGAAGCTGCGCGAGGTGGTGGAGCTTCCGCTTCTTCAGCCGGAGCGCTACGTCTCGCTGGGCATCGACCCGCCGAAGGGCATCCTGCTGTTCGGGCCGCCCGGTACCGGTAAGACTCTGTGCGCGCGGGCGGTGGCCAACCGCACGGACGCCACCTTCATTCGAGTCATCGGCTCGGAGCTGGTGCAGAAGTATGTCGGCGAGGGCGCGCGCATGGTGCGCGAGCTGTTCGACATGGCCCGCAGCAAGAAGGCGTGCATCATTTTCTTCGACGAGATTGACGCCATTGGTGGCACGCGTTTCGACGACGGCGCCGGCGGTGACAACGAGATCCACCGTACCATGCTGGAGCTGATCACCCAGTTGGATGGCTTCGACGCGCGTGGTAACATCAAGGTCCTGATGGCGACGAACCGGTGCGTCGTGTCCTCTTGCCCTGCCCTGCTCCCCTGCCCTGTTGCTGGCCTTCTTCGCGCCGCACATCCACCCACCCGCCTGCACGGACGCACACTTTTTTTTTTTCTTCCCTCTCCCTCTCTCTGACACCCTGTGCTCTCGCCATTCCTCCCCCGCCACCCTGCCATCAGCCCCGATACCCTGGACCCGGCTCTGCTGCGCCCCGGTCGTCTGGACCGCCGTGTGGAGTTCGGCCTCCCGGACCAGGAGGGCCGCGCGCACATCCTGCGCATTCACGCGCAGCAGATGAGCGTCGAGCGGAATATCCGCTACGATCTGATTGCCCGCCTGTGCCCGAACGCCACCGGTGCCGAGATGCGGTCAGTCTGCACCGAGGCCGGCATGTTCGCCATCCGTGCTCGGCGCAAGCTGGCCACCGAGAAGGACTTCTTGGACGCCGTGAACAAGGTCATCAAGGGCTACAAGAAGTTCAGCGCCACCCCGCGCTACATGACCTACAACTGAGTTGGCTGCCGCGGCCGGCCGGGCGGCGTCGTGATATTTGCACCCTGCTGCCCTCTTGGCCCTCCCCCTCGCGCCCCTCGTGTATTTTTTTTTCTGGCGCGCGTGTGTGCCTGTGTGTGTGTCTGTGTGTTTGTACACATGCGCGCACGCGCCCCGGCCCCCCGTCTTCAGTTTGCCCGGCCTCTCTCTCTCCCCCTCTCTCTCCCTCTCTTTCTTTGCCCACCACCCCCTTGGCCCGTCCTTTCGCTGTCCTGCGATTCCCCTCCTCCCGCCTCTCTCCCCCCCCCGGTGATATGGGGACGCGGCTGCGCCCATCCCCCTCCCCCCCCTCCCCCCCCCCCCGCAGGAGCATCCTGCATCTGTACAATGAACCAGCACCCCTTTTCGTCTTTCGTCGGGACGCGCTGTATGTGTGTATATAAATATGTATATTTTCTACGGAGCCGATGTACCTGGCATGGGTGGCGATGACGGCGGCAGCGGTGGTGTATTGGCAGCGACAGCAGGAGCAGCAGCAGCAGCAGCAGCAGGAGCAGCAGCAGCAGCAGCAGCAGCAGCAGCAGCAACAGCAGCAGTATATCGCCCTCGCGTGTGCATGCGCGTCCGCGCCCCCTCCAAAGAGTGGCGAATGCCAGGGGCATTTCTACTGACCACTGAGGGGCTTGTCCAGCTCGGCGGCCTTGCGGTTGCGCGAGTCGAAGGTGATCGTCACCGGGCCATCATTGACGATGTTGACGCTCATGTTGGCCCCGAAAATGCCGTCTACCAGGGAGGAGGAGGGGGAGGGGGGCGGGGGGGACAAGGATCAGCCAAGGAGGACGAGGGCGGAGGGCCGGGCACGAGAGATAGCCAAGTAAGGCATACGCCACTGGCAGGGGGGCGAGGATCACGCACTGGCAATATGACCCCCAGGATAGGCCTTGCGTAGCTTCTCCAGGAAGAGGTCGTACGTCTCGCGAGCCTTGTCGGTGGACATGGCATGGTGGAAGTCCGGCCGGGTGCCCTTCATCCGGCAGTTCAGGGTGAACTGGGAGACTAGGCGAGAGAGCGGACGGAGGAATGGTCAGGGAAGATGCCGAGGGGAGGGGCAAAGGGAGAGAGAGCGAGAGGGCGAGAGAGAGAGAGAGAGGGACAAGACCCCGAGCAGACAGAGGGCGGGTGTGCCGGGCCCCGGCAGCAGGCATGGTGGGGCCGCGCACCGGAAAGGACACCATACCCGGCGTCGGTGACGCTCCGGGCCCAGGGCTTGCCTGGCGCGGTGTCGGTGGCCTCGCCGTCGAACACGCGCGTGGTGAGGATCTTCGAGACGCTATTGGGCGGTCCCCGCACATGGGGTGGTGTATATCCGTGTCAGTGGTCAGGGGGTGGTCAGGGGGGAGGGGGGGGGGGGGGGGGGGGGGGGGGCGGATACGGCTGGTGAGCAGCCGGCCGGCAGACGCACATGTAGTCCAGGTCGGCGTCCTTGTCCTCGTGGTGCAGGCCGATCAGAACCATGACGCCCTCCTTGATGGCCCCGACGATGGCACCATCGACTGCGAGCCGCGACGGCGGAAGGGGAGGGGGAGGGGGGCGCGGGGGCGAGCGTGCGGGGCAGGATGCGCTGTCAGGCCGCAGTGTGCCAGGTAGGATGAAATGCAGGAATCCGACGCACCGGTGACGCTGGCGGCGGTGACCCGCTGCAAAATGCACTTCATGACTGAAAGAGAGAGAGAGAGAGAGAGAGAGAGAGGGGGAGAGAAGGGTGACGCCAGGCAAGATGAGGCGCGTCAACACGGGGCGATGAGGGGAGGGCTATGGCCTGCCTTGCCTGCGGTGGGGGCTGGCCTGCTCTTCATAGCGGGGAGGGCGTCCCCCGCTGCCGGGCAGGCCCCGGCCCGGTCGAGGGATCTGACTCTTGGCTGTGAGATGCGAGGATCGCGCTGCCATTAGAACGAGGGGCGAAGAGAGGCTCAGGGGCCGGAGCGGCGGGAAGCCGGCCCCTTGACCTGGCAGTTTGGTGCGGCCCCCAGGCTCGGACGCCGAGCAAAGGGGCGTGCGCGCCCCCGCGAGGGGCGGTCCCACGAGGAAGGGAGCACGTTCCAACGGTTGCCTACCCCCCCCCACCGGCACCCGCGGTCATGGGTGGGGATCTGACACCTGGCACGTGCCACCGCGGCGCCGGGGATGCCGTGGACCTCGAAGCATCCGGCGCCCTCCCCGGCCGCAGTTGGCGCGACCCGGGCCGTGGCGGCCGC